AAAGTAATCTTTGCTACTCAATGTCATTAGAAGTACTTAAAGAAAGCCTCCTCGATGTTGCAGGAGTTGTTAATACATATAGTTTTCACACTCTACGGATATAGATATTAGATTTCTGTGATTCATAATTAAACCGTCCATCTATCTGTATGCAAACTAGACCGTCTTTGGGTAGTACACAAATTTGTCCAGAAATTTGACCAGAAGCTATTACTTTTTCATACAGCTAATATAATACCTATTATCAGTTTTTTTTTTTTTTTTTTTTTTTTTTGAGTAACTGTTTCTGTTTCCAAGACAATGTGAAACTACTTCTACAAAAACAGTTGAACAAATTTGTATAAAAGAGCAATTTATGTGAGTAAAATCATAATTTTAAGAGACAGCTGGAGTAGGTTTATATAAGTATTTGATAATGGATCTGATAAACCCTAATATGTGCAGCTCTTGATATATTCAGGTGAAAGGGACAGCAAATGGTCATTCCTTCTCGCTCTACCTATGTTTTTCTTTACAGACTCAGGCATAGCCACAAGTCCGGCACCCACCACCACCAACAGCGCTGCCAGCACCACCAGCAACAAAAGCAATAACAACAATAATAATAATAATGGAGCCAGCAATGTGGCGGAAACGAACAATGGCGGAGCGATTGGCAGCACAGTTGCCAGTTTAGTGAATGCCGGGCTGAGCGAGGAGGGTGCTTCGCAGATGCGCCAATTCTCTTCGGGGCAGCTGCAGCTGCAGCTGCAGATGGAACAGCTAAAGCTGCGCGAGCAGGCCCAGATTGTGGCCCGCTCAAAGCGTGTGCGCACGCAAAGCTATTCGGACTGGAGCACCACGATTGCGCCGCGCTATCAGTGCGAGGTGGGAGAATGCTCGGTTCCGTCGTGCCTCAATAATTTTACCGCCGTCGAGTTAATGACTGGACAGAACAAGGTCGGCTGCGAGAGCTGCACGCGCCGCATCAACGGCCCCGATCCGCAGGCCAAATCCGTGAACACGAATGCGACAAAGCAGCTTCTAGTGTCCAGTCCGCCGGCAGTGCTCATTTTGCATCTAAAGAGATTCCAGCTGGGGCCGCGCTGCATCTTTCGTAAGTTAACGCAGCAGGTCAGCTATTCGGTCCTGCTGGACATAGCCGCCTTCTGCGGATCCAAGGTAAAAAACTTGCCCAACATCGATCGCAAACAGAAGAAGCTGCTCTATGCGCTCTATGGCGTAGTCGAGCACTCGGGCGGCTTATATGGCGGGCACTACACCGCCTATGTAAAGGTACGTCCGAAGGTGACACCTGATGACAAGCGCTGGAAATTCCTGCCTCATGGTAGCAAGGCGGAACTAGATCAGGACGATGAGCAGCTAAAAAAGCTTGAAGAGCTGCTGGTCAAGGAGAAGGCCCGTGAGATGCGCATGAATGCAATGGATGACAGCGATGACTTTACCAGCTCCAGCAGCAATGCGTCTACCTCAGACGAGGCCTCCTCCGATCTAAACAATGGCCTTGCCGATGACGAACCAACTGCTGCTACCTCCGGCGATCAGCCGGCTGGCATGGCCAATGGCGAAGCAGATGAGGCGGCCAATGTACAGCCACCGCCCGGCAAATGGTATTACGTGTCAGATTCACGTGTCCAGGAGGTTAGCGAGAAGACGGCCCTCAAGGCGCAGGCATATCTGCTGTTCTACGAGCGCATCTATTAAGAACTGGAGCAGTTGCATTGGGGCGAAGTGGCCGCCACCATCGTTCCATTAGATAAGAATAGATTTTTCAAATTTAATTCCTTTTTTTTTTTTAATATTGTTCCTGATTGTTTTTGTTATTATCCTTAAATTGCATTTTGAACGCGTCGGCGCGAACAACAACGAAGAAATGAGAGAGAAAGGACTCTTGTAACTGAAGAGTGGCAGGAGTGCATTTTTCATAATGCTATGGATAGAGCAGCAGGCGATATTTATGTATGTATATATATATATATGCATATATAAACAAACATGTATATATACATATATATATACATATATATATATATATATATATATATATATATATATATATATATATACATATATATATATATATATATATATATATATAGATATATATGTATACAGAAGATATATGTATATATATACACTCACACACAGATACATCGGATGCATTTTGAGGTGGAAATTCACAGGGCAGTGTGTGTTACACACACACACACACACACACACACACACACACACACACGCACACGCAAGGAGACGGACAGACAGATACAAAAACACAAACCTACACATACACAGACATGCAGCAAAATTTATAAGTTTATTATTTCACATGACGTATGTTTTTATCATTTGATCTTTGGATTTTATCGTAAAAATTGAGAATGTTGCCCAACCACAAACAAACAAATCTTATAAACATATAAATACAACTATCTAAAATAAATCATATTTATTTTCTTAATATAACTATGCGAAACTATGCAATTCAATATGTTTAAAATAAACAAATGCAATAGCATAGCGCCAATTAAAGAGTTCAACAAGAGATTTGGCTTGATAATTACCATTTTTTTTGTAAATTTGATTATATATTCTTAAGTTAGTTGCACATATACATTATATATATATATTTTTAGTCTGTTGTCCAAAAAATATTAAGAAATTAACAACAATGCCTCAAAAAACGATATAACGTTACTTAACAAAAAAAAAAAAAAAAAAAAAAAAACAGCAACAGAAAAAACAACAACTGCAAACAAGTGAAGACACTTTTTGCTGTGAATGCAATTTACTGATTATATTTATAATTATGATACGTGTTTTTTTTTACCTTAAATGTGTTGTAAAAAGCTAACAAAAAATTGTTTCAGTTATATAATTATTATTACATTTACATATTTTAATTAACAATGACAATGATGGAGGATTATAGAAATGAAAAACAAAAAAAAAAAACAATTGCTCGCTTCTGCCAATATATGTAATTGAAATCCAATGAAATTGACTATATAAAAAAAATATATATATATACATATATATATATATATATATATATATATATACATCTATATTCTATATATATATATATATATATATACATTTAAATAAATGGTTCTATATACACGAATGCATTATAAATATATATGTACAATAACTCGATATTACTGTTGCAGGAAAAAGTTGTCAGTTCCCAAACAGTTAATGGAAATTGCAACAAGAATTATACAACTGGCATCTTAATATACAAGAAACAAGAGGAAATACAAAAAGTATATGTAAACACATGTATACACATTTATCTTATGAATTAGGTTATACAAATCAATTTAATTATGATAATAAAACAAAACATGTTCGCGGACTGCGTGATTGTAATTCTCTTCCAATCAGAACATACATATATATGTGTATATACTCATATATCGCGAGTATTTAAGCGTGTTCAGTCGGGAAGTATGCTTTATAAGCCGCTGTTCAATTATATTCTAATTGTATGGCATACTTTTAGGAGCTTTCAAATACAAATATAGAATTATTTGAGCGTATGATGGGAAATGTTAGGCAACAGAACAGAACTAACAAGTAAGAGGTTCTAGTCGGGAGCTCCCGACTAGCGGATACCCTGAACCCACTTCTTCCAACATCAAATGCATATATATATTCTATTTTAGAAGCTATATGTCAAGTTTGGTGACTAGCTCTTATTATTTACCAAAATTGCCCAAAAAACAGGATGTCGATATCGATTGCTTGGAAAAGGAGTAAGTTATCGATTATCGGAAACAAACTCGATCTGCGCGGGATCTAGGAGCACCTACATCTAAAATTTCTCTAGCTCTTATAGGTTCTGAGATCCTTGCGTTCACACATACGGACGGACGGACGGACATACAGAGGGACATGGCTAGATCGACTCAGCTATTGATGCTGATCAAGAATATATATACTTTATACCCTTATACCCATTTTTAATGGGTTCAGGGTATAAAAACGTTTTTTTTTAACAGTTTGAAGGTAAACTTAACTACGAACCCTTAAAGTCATGTACAAATGTTTCCATTTACCTAAATGGTTTTTATACTTTTCATATTTGATGTTGATTATGCAGTGAAGCGTGTAACGCACAAAAGAAATCGCGTTCGACCCCATGGAGTATATATATTCACAATCCGTATCAACAGCCGAGTATATATGTGCAGACAAAAGGTCGGAATTGGAGTACTTTATCATATATCTAGCAGGAATAACCAAATCTGGCATTCAAAAGCTTTACTGTACTTCAAACACATCTGCTGTCTTCTTAAGAACAGACAGACATAGGAAGAATCTGTTCGAAATATAGTTTTTGTTGAATTGGTACTGAACTATAATGCACATTTGCTGCATATGCTAAAGTCTAATAAGCGAAAGATCAGCTTGCTAATATATCTAAAAACATTTCTTAATGAAAGCTTAAGCGTGCTTTTTAAGACTTCTAACTTGTACTATTCGAAGATAGGGTTTGAAAAAATTAAAATGATTGAAAATCGATAAAAAAAAAAACGTAATATGATTCTTTGCATTCTTGAATAACTTCCATGTTTAAAGTGAGATGCTTTTCAACTTGGCATAGTCTAAATATGACGTTCAAATGTGTTTAAATGCCAATAAACTATGTTATAGTTGTAGTAAGCCATAAAAAGTAAACTATTTATCATCTATCCTATAATCTCTGAAGAATACACTTTATGGGTTTGGAAATGCTACTTCTTGCCCCTATTACCTGGCTTTGCCTTTAGCCCATTACGATTTGCTTTTAAATTGAAACTAGCTATAGGTTCTGAGATCGACGTGTTTATACACACGGACGCACGGAAAGACAGACGGACATGGTTAGATCGACTCGGCTATTGATGCTGATCATCAATATATATCTTTATGGGGCGCTTCCTTCTGCCCGTTACATACATTTCAATGGGTGCAGGGTATAAAATCGTCTAAGAGAAACACAAGTAGGACTAAAAAAAAAATTTAGTTATTAACTTATGGATACAAAGCTGCATGTACATATGAATTGTAATTATATGCATGCTTTTGGGTCTTATAAGATCTAAACATTTTCAGGCTTGCGTAGAAAAAAAAGAACAACAATTTCTTAAATTTATTTTGTGATCGACTACGAGTGGTTCATCAACAAGTAATCGTAGGCGTAGTCGAAAACGAGCAGCATGATGGCACCGCCGGGACCCAGGCGCATTATCTTCGGCACCAGGCCCTTGTATAGCGCCCGGAAGCCCTCCTCCTTGTACACGGTCGCGATGGAGCTCAGGGTGCCGCGATACTTGATCTGATTGGCCACTGGCTGCGGTCCCTGGATGCGAGACTTGGCCACATCGAAGGGTATGTTGACGAAGCAGGCTAGCGTGCCGGCCAGGAAGCCAATGGTCACCTTGCGTATAAACTCCCAGGTGTGATCCTTGCTCTCTGGCACCACGTTCTTGACGCTGTGGTAGAAACCGAAGTAGATCATGTTGAAGACGCCATTGCGACCCATGGTTGCCGTCAGGCCCTTGTTCAGTCCTCGCAGCCCAAGGCCATCGCGTCTGACAATGTCGCATGCCACCTCAAAGGTGCTCACCATCTTCTTCTGTCTATCCGCCTGCTGCGCCACCTTGATCACTTCAAAGGGATTTACGGCTATTGCCTCTAGTGTGCCGGCCGTCAAGCCTGCCAGCGAGAACGTCAGCGGCGTCGGTGTCGGCGACCCAAATTGGAAAAGCGATTTCGTCTGCTCGAACACCAGAAACTTGATGGCTCTCTTCGGCGTTTCGGCCAGAATGGGCGGCATCAGGCCCTTCCAATACGACGAGATGCCCTCCTGCCGGTACATCTTCGCAAAGCAGTCAAACACGCCAGTGTAGTGCACCTGCGAAAGATTCTCAATGTTGTTAGGAGAAATCAACTAAGCTAGGCTAAAATTCTGTTCCATATTAGTGCCCATTTCAAAGCTGCCAATTTGTGCGCAAGAACATCTAAAAACCCTTAGCAAAAACGAACGTAATTTGTATTCATTAAAAAGATTAAGTGCTTGTAATTTCTTAGTTACAAGACATCTCAATATGAATTGATAACTGCGATCACTTGGATCTATTGTTGGATCTATTACTGAAGAATAATATTTATGGTTCAGTTGCAAAATGCCTCTACTCTATATACATCTGTCAAAGTCTCAGCCGGTTTACAGCTGAAAATTCCTCCAGAATATTTTCTACAGCTTTATCGCTCTCGAAGGCGTGTCATCCTTCACAATCAAAATCGGCTTTATTCATAATATTACCGCAATTCCATAAGCAAGTTTTTCCTTTTAAAAAAATTGTTCATTTCTAAACATTCCCGAAAAAATGGTCAACTTGGCAGCACTGACTGGCTCGCATTTTCATTGTTTATTGCTCATGGCACACAAATATCAAGAAAAACTGGAATTTTTTGGTTCGGTTTTTATGCAAATTTGCATAAATCGTGCTAAATAACTTAGACACTGTGCTAATTTAACCCATTGATGTTTTGCTTGTGTGTGCGTGCGTGCATGTGTACAGTAAATTACATTTTGCATCTATTTTAATAATGTGCTAAAAATTAGTTAAATGTTTTCGATCCAACAAGAAAGCGCATAGCAGACGTTTCGTCTTAACCTATATACATATGTATATATATAGTTGAAGGCATTACCCGGCATTGCCCGGGTCAAATAAATTATTTTGAAATTGATTCAATTCGCGTCAGCTTTTGACATGGACAAAAGCTAAACAAAATAAATTTTATCGTTTCTTATTAATTATTGTTTTTTTTTTTTATAATTTAAATTATTTGGCCACACAAAAAGTTGCCAACTATCCATGTTAGTCACTCAGTATATCAGTCAGTCAGTCAGAATAAAGTTCATGTGCGTGTGCATGTGTATACATATGTATGTATTTAAATGCGCATACATGTGGACAGAACCAAGCAGCACAGTTTCCGTATGCGTATTACCCAAGAATATAAAAATGATATATGATGGACTGTATGCTCTTTGTTCTTACATAGGTATACGTATTATGATGGCGACGAGCTCAAGGAATACACATATAATCATTATGATGATAGTACCATAATGTGCTCTGTTATCTATGAAGTTGGGGCACCTAATGCTCAAGAGCTTGTAAAATTCTCTCAGAATGTGTTTTGAAAAGATTGAGCTTAACAAGCTGTAAAACATGAAAAGATAAGAAGAGAACAAATAAATACGCAAATACACCGGTTAAAAAAAAAAAAAAAAAAACAAAAACTTTCACTTAATAAACGAATAGAAATAATATGTGACACGCGTTTTGCTGATTACGAAAATGAGTTCGAACACTAGAAAATCAGCAGAGATAAGTCAAAATTTCTCAAAAAGCGCGCAGTTGATAAGACAAGGCAATTATGCACACGTGTGTGTGTGCGTGTGTGTAGGTGGTCTATATACAATCTGTGTACATGTATGCACATTTTATATTGTATCTCACCAGCTGTTCGAGCTGTTGGGCATGATGTCAAATGGATATCTATGTATCCATATTAGTTTGACTGTCGTTTTTGTTGACCTTGACATGACCTTTTCAAATAGCTACCCTATCAGCAGGGCTGTCCGCTTAGTGCGTGTTGTTGAGGTCTCTTTTGGTCTGGCCATAAAAGCTGTCTGGTTGTTATCGGCGCCTTGTCTTCGTTTATGCTATGCCCATACACACACACAGACACACACGCATGCACACACATGCATGCACACAATTTGTTAAGTACATGCATTGTTTTCTCGATATCTACCTGTGAAGGTTATACACAAACCACTTGAGCCGAACAATTCGTATTAAGCGACCGCTCTTTCGCGCTCTCCCTCCATCGCTCTCTCTTTCTCTCCCGCCCACTGTTCTGATGGCTTAAGTTTTCGCCTTACGCCTTTATTTACATTCTCTCTGAAAGCTGCCAGCTGCCAGCTGATTGGTAATTAAAGCTCGTAGAAGATAAAAAGATAACTTACCTCGGCCGTGGAGGAGGCGGTGGCGGCAAACGCGGGCCGTGTCTGGATCTGCATGCGTGTCTTGACCACGTCGAGCGGCTGCATTATGCACACTTCCAGGAAACCGGCGGAGCCGCCGGCCATTACCTGGAAGGCAGCTTTGCGCGCCGGCGATATGCTGGGTCTCTCCTCGTTCTGGGTGCTCATTTCGTTGCCTTTTTTGTTTTGTCTTTAATTTGAAAATCTGCCAAGATTAAACCAAAACTTTATTATCAGACACATCCATAAATGTGCCAAAAATTTCTATGGGTGTTGGCTCAGAAAAAGCAACCAAGAGCAAAAACTAAAGAACTCTAAACACCGATAATTTGTGATTCGAAAAGTCTAAGGCAATGCTCACTTTGTCGCTAGACGTTCGCTCCGATAGTCACGACAACTAGTTCCACGCTCTCGAACAGACAACAGCAACAACAAAATACCAAACAACAAGTTGAATTTGAGAGCAATCAATGGACCCAAACTGTAGCCGCCGCGCGCCACGACAACTCAATTCGCACTGAACCCGAGCAGGCAAATTGAATTCTGAACGGCGCCGCGGCGAAAGTGGCCAGTCCCAGGGCTGGAGTCGGGCAGCCGGGGCAGTCGGACGCAGACGCGATACGAACCGTTGGACGTGGCCGAGCTTTCAATCACGCAGCTGACGACGTACTGGAAGTGCTTCTAGCTGCTGCCCATAACTACCGTTTCACACAATGCACCCGCTCCGATCGCGCAAAAAGCTTTCAGCGATTGACGTCGACGACGACGACGACGACGTCATCCCATCTGGCATCTCTTTGTACTTATTTTGTTGGTGGTTGCTCTCACACTGAGAGCGGGATTCCAGCTGCAATCTCACGTGCGTGGGGGTATGCCAGGAGTGTGTTATGAACGTTATGGATTGTATTGCTATATAATTAATGTACTGATTGATATGTCCACTACTAATAAAATTAGGGTTGAATAGCTGCTCCTTAAACTGTCGAGCAAAATGTATAAAAGGCTAATCAGTAATCCGGAAAGTAATCGGGATTAGGGTAAGTAATTGTATGTGCATAAAGTGATTATAGAATGATACGATATCTCTGGTATATATAGTTCGCCCCCCTTTATCGCTCCCCCTTAACACTTAACAACTTAACACACACAACTTATCTTCCCTCTACCTCGTAGTAAGGAGTTCACATACTGCTATAAATAAAGCTGTTTACCCGATTACCTTTCAAGTAATGCAAGGAGGATCTATATGCGACACTAGGGTATATGGTTGATAAACAGCAAACGTAGGGGATTATGCATACATATACATATAACCGCACTATATGTACATATGTAATAATGGTAAATACTCAATATATTAAATTAATAATAAAAATAGTGAAAATAAAGAAATAATAATAATAATAATAATAATAAAAATAATAATAATAATAATAATAATAATAATAACAATAACAAAAATAAAAATTATAATTATAATAATAATAATAATAATAATAATAATAATAATAATAATAATAATAATATAATAATAATAATAATAATAATAATAATAATAATAATAATAATAACAATAATAAAATAATAATACTAATAAGAAGAATAATAATAAGAATAAGAAGAATAGAAATAATAATAAGAATATAATAAGAAGAATAAAATAATAATAAGAATAATAATAACAATAATAATAATAAACAAAAAGAAAATAATAATAATAATAATAAAAAAAATAAATAATAATAATATAATAATATACAAAATAATAATAATAGAAATAATAATAATAAAACAATAATATAATAATACTAATAATAATAATAATAAGAATAATAAATAAATAATAATAATAATAATAATAATAAACAATAATAACAATAATAATAATAATAATAATAATAATAATAATATAAATATAATTAATAATAATAATAATAATAATAATAATAATATAATAATAATAATAATAATAATAATAATAAGTAATATAATAATAAGAATAATAATCATAATAATAATAATAATATATAATAATAATAATATAATAACAATAACAATAATAATAATAATAATAATAATAATAATAATAATAATAATAATAATAATAATAATAATAATAATAACAACAATAATAATAATAATAACAACAATAATAATAATAATAATAATGCTAATAATAATAAAAATAATAATAATAATAATAATAATAATAATAATACTAATAATAATAATAATAATAATAATAATAATAATAACAAAAATAAAAATTATAATTATAATAATAATAATAATAATAATAATAGTAATAATAATAATAATAATAATAATAATAATAATAATAACAATAATAATAATAATAATAGTAATAATAATAATAATAATAATAATAATAATAATAATAATAATAATAATAATAATAATAATAATAATAATAATAATAATAATATTAATAATAATAATAATAACAAATTGTACACTCAATATTCTGTCCAGCTGCGTAAATTCCAGCCTAGGTTTAGCTCCTTGGAGCTTCTTAGGTTTTTGAATGATCGGCAACATCATGAATTTTCACACCTGACTAAGACATGCGCCTAACGCATTGATTAGATACTCTTATCTCTAGGGCAAATGTCATTAGGCGGAGTCCACAAATCATGTCCGTGTCAACTGGTGGGCTGTATAGTACAGGTGTATGCATTTACGACACAAGAAAGCAAGACAAACGAATCATTTGACATTTGTACATGTATCTGTATCTGAATTTGTATCTGTATCTGTCAGGTCGCAAGTGCATCTGACAGATGCATCTGCTGATCTTTGCGTTGGCTCTTGATTAGTTTATTGTTTAGTATTCATAGTGCGTTGTATGCGGCGCATCAATCAGTTAGGTGATGGTATGAAGCAGAACAAGAAGAAGAGCTGAGGCATATGAGTGGTAACATAAAGATATACACATTTATATCCATATGTACATATATATGAGTGGATCGGGTCGCTAAGTGAGTGCCGTCTGTGTATCTGTGGCATCTGAAGTATCTGTGAGATAGATTGAGGACAACTTTCATTTGCATAAAATGCATTCTATAACAAATTGACAGAACAAATTGTTGGTGTCAAAAATGCGATGCGCTTGACTGAAATCCCCCCTCCTCCTTCCCCGTTCTCATAGATGCTCTATGATTTACATGGCATGCCTTTCATGCTGCCTTGAGTGTGTGTGCATGCATTTGTGCATTTGTTTTATGTCTGTCCAAATATTTCGAGCTGTTAATTATAGGCACGAGTTAGCGTGAGTGATAGACAGATAGATAGATAGATAGATCCATCTATCTATCTATAGATAGATAGATAGATAGAAACAAAAGATTGTGTGGAATTTCAGATAGGTTCAGAAGTTCCTTCACAAATTGACATTGGAGCTCAATAATCTCAATGTTCTCGGCGAATTTAAAATGCATTAGAGACCATTAAAAGCTCATAAAGCCAAGGGACATGCCTTCCAATTTGATCTAATTATGTTATAATTATTGTTACAATTTTGGCAGACAGCTGAGGTGGGGGGAAGACGGAGCCCAATCGAAATGATATACTAGTAATATCTTAGGTATAAATTGCCGCCTAAAGATATCACTCAATAATCGATATGAATGAATGGATATACTCTGAAAATCGATTTCAATTCTTTCACGCAGCGATTTCTGCTCAACCAAATTCCAAATCGGCATCCGAGTTCGAGTTCGAGTCCGAACTGAGTCAGGCAATACCGGAGGCGGCGGGCAAAGGCAATCTAGGAAAATGATTTTATTTTTTGTAATTAGCTAGCGGAACAGACAACAACAGCAACAGGCAGAAGAGCAGGCACCAGCAGATAGCGCCGATTGATCGATCAAAGCTGCAGATACAGAGGCTAATAAATCATTTTTCCGTTCTCATTTCCCATTTTCCCCCCTAAAGTGAGAACTCACGACCGCACCGCCCGTGGCCGTCCAATTGTCTGTCAAAGGCTATTAACCCCATTTTGGCGGGGCCGTTCCACTTGTTCGACTCCGCTGTGGTCATGTTAGCTTGTCAGTTTTCTCGGCCACCCTCTCACTCACTCTCTCTCACTCTCTCTCTCTCTCTCAGTCGGTCTGCCTGTTTGTCTTGAGAAATACTTGTAAGTTGCCCAAATTGTTTTTCCAAACACCGCGCACTAAAAATGTAGAAGCGCAGAGCCATATGTGAAACAAAAGACCAAGAACTCAGAGATAGACACTTTGCTTTTGGGCTCGGAGCTGTTGGACGCCATCTCGTAGCCGTCAACGGGCTCAAAGAATTCCCGTCAGAACTGATGCCGCATGCTGCATGCCGCATGCCGCATCTGGCAACTGCCATGTTTTGATCGTCCAACTCAAGCGTTGCAGCCAAAATATTGTAGCATGTCGGAGTATCAATTGGAGGCCCAAAAACACGCAGTGGCCACCGCAACCATAAGAAAGCAAAGTTAGAGTGTTTTGATTAATGTCAGTTTTGACAGCTGTCCATATGAAGGCCCCCAGCTCTGGGCCAGGTCCAGGAATAGCTGCATTCGGTCTCTGCCCAGTGGAGGCTCCATTAGCAGCCAGCGATCAGGCAGCTGAGCAATCGAATTGAGCCAATGATTCGTAACTAATAAAAAAACTGAAGATGAGCTTCAAAATTGGTAACCAATCTATACTATCTGGATAAGCACAGGCTAATCGCAAGAGCTGAGTTCACATTAGTTTCTTAAAATTAGCCCTAAAACGGATTTTTGGCGAAATTCACCGACAAGAGTGGAAAATGGCTGAATTACTTCATTGTTGCTTGTCACTCGATCGCCGTTTGATTCATTATATCTGAAGAATCCCTTTAATCATGGTTTTATGGAAGAAAATCTAGATCGGTTTCAAGCCCATGGTAAGAAAATTGGTGGACAGCACGAGTTCCGGCAGGGTAAGGGCAGTTAATAATGGAAGATCTTTAAAGCAAAACCTTAAAGACTTTGAGGCGAATCTAGCGACTATGTTGGGTGAGGCATAAACATGACCTAGAACCACTTGAGCCACCGGCTTTTAAGTGGCACAGCCCACTGAACTGTGCCGACCCGTTAATAACAAGTTGGGCGATATTTGCGGGCCATGTCAAACGAAAGTACGAGTTGGTTAGCCAAGACCCAAGCCCACGACAATAAGACAGTATTTGGTCTATAAAGACGCCCGTTGGCGCCGCTTTTTTGCCATTTAATTGGACAACGCGTACGCGAATGGAGGCGCTAAGCGGTTGGACTTTGGCGTTGTTGCGCCTGCTGAGCGCTCTGCACTGGTCCTGGACATGGACGCCAGCGCGCACGGATCACCCGCTGGCCAACAGCTATTTGAATGCGGCTCAAAGACCGCTGTGGATACTCGAAGATGAGCTGATGAAGCGCCAGCGTGCGGATAGGCAAGAGGCGGACTATGCCACAAACACGCGTGCCCCAACCTTGGGAAGAAGTGCACGCAGACACAGCTGGCAGGAACAGCAGGAGCGACAGCATCTGTCCACAGCCATTACAATACGCGTGCGACCGGACTCGGAGGCGGATGCGCCGCTTCTGGTGGCATCACCGCTGGCTGCACCACTTACACAGCGACGCTTTGTGCTGCCGCATCGCTTGCAGATACCGAGCCACTACGTTCAGCAGCTGGGTGGGACGCCGTCTAAGCCCAGGTCGGCGCAGCGCCGGCGCCAGCCGCAGTCGCTGCCCATATTTGACAGTGCACCCGGAGACAATGCGCTGCCCACTGCCAGCTATCCGATCTTTGTCTACAATGGCACCAGGGGTGAGCTGCTGATCAACACCATGCTGAGCGCCCAGCGCTATCCTATGCAGGAGCCGGTGCCCGGCCAAGTGCTCTATCCGCCCTCCACGCCCATGTTCCGACCCAAGCCCATTGTGAAGCGCTTAAAATTGCCCGGTCAGCGGGAGCTGCTCAATCTGACGTTGATTCCCTTCTACGCCCACGAGGCTATCACCGTAATGCCAACATTTGAGACAACAACAGAAGCATACATGGCAGATGCTGATCCAGATCCTGCAGCTGCTCCAGCAACTGCAACGGCAGCTGAGCCCCTGGCACTGACCACGCCCATGCCCACGCCCTATGAAACACAGCTTCCGCGCAGCAAGCGCAAGAGGAAGGCCAAGAAGGCGAAGCAGTACAGCGCCTATCGTTCGCCCCAGGAAGTGGTGCAGTGGCAGCCACCGCTGCGTAGCTCGCCAGCACTGGACCCACCCGACAATCATCGCCACTACGTGGTGCCAACCACCGATAGGACGGACAGAGCAGTGCAGGAGCAGCTGGAACAGTTGGAGCTGCTAGATGCCGAGCTTGAGGAGCCCAGCCAAGAGCTGCAACTGGAACAGCAGCCGCCAGCACAGCTCGAACAGACCACTAGCAGCAGCAGTAGCAGCGGTAGTTCCCCTTCTTCATTTCAGATCATCTATGTGGACGAGAGCATGGAGGCACCTCACGATTCGCTGGACAGCACCACAGAAGCTCCACCGCTGCAGCGCCAGAGCTCCCGTTATGCATTGAAGCGTGAGTACTACGCCTTTCCTGTCTACACGCTGGGTAAGCTGCTGCAGAGCCCCAAGCCTGTCCAGGCAAGTCACAGAGCACGTGACATAGAGATCGATTGCTCGGGTAGTTCCAAGGAGCATGGTGACAATACCTGGTTCATTATGAATTCACGGTAAGCTCGCTGTGCAAGCTCATCTACTCAGTCGCTTGTCACATATTTGCTTCCAATTTGCAGCTACAGGGGACCACATCGCAATGGCCAGAAGGGGAGCAAGGAACACACCAAGTATTATACATCCAAGTATGTAAAGAGCCATGCTCCTCGATAGCAGCACATGGTACTGAATGCTGTGACTTGTCTGAGCTGGGGCAACTCTATTGTCTCTATTGTGATCTTCAATATGATAATAAAATGCAAATATTTTTGTTTTGTAGATATAAGTGATCTATGATTATATATTATATTTTTAAGCAAAATACAATATAAATATATATATTAATGGATATTTCATTTTTTGATGGGACATATGGTAAATGAAGGGCTGAGCGTGTATCCAATTTTCTTGTTGATGATCATACCGGGATTTTACTGCACTTGAAATTGGATTAAATTGGACCATTTGTTGAGCTTAATTCGAAAATGATCTTCATTATAATAATATTTGAATATGACTTGATCTTTCTATATTTTTAAACTTTTCAATTGATCTTTTATCTTTTCTTGTATTAAAGGGTCGACTGATCTTAGAACAACTTTACTCAGCAATCTTGCAATCTGTTTGATAAGAAATAACGATAATGTTCATAATTAAAGTCTTTCATCTTTCACTGCATTGAAAATTACTGTGATCAGATATTAAAGATCATTTCTTGATCAGCTGTTTAAAATATGATCTTCATTATAAGATTATTTGCTTAAAGATACAAGAAATATATGATTATGGGATGATCCTTTTGATTAGAAATAAATGATGATACCTTAATCGGTTTATTTTCTACCAAATTTAGACACTGATCTCTTTCTGATCTTGCACTTTTTTTGTACTCATTAAAGCTCATAACACGCTCATCTCAATTAGCTTTTTCCAAATGATTCTGAACTGCTCTTAACAGATCATATCATGATGACCCGAATGACCTATTAAAATCGTATCCAAACACCTCTCCTCCTAATGGCTCAGCACTATCATTAAAACTGAACTTCATTAACACCTCTATAGGCCCGTACCTATGCCTATGCTTATGCAAGTGTCTGCTGGCCTTTGGGTAAAATACTTCGTATAATACTACGAATGCCATTGAAGAGGTTAACCAACCATAAAAAATGGCAATAAATTCCTGCAGACACAAAGACGACGCTTTTCTATCCGAAGGTTCGGCTAGAAAGCTGTCATAAAATGCAGTTTTAATGATCGAACAACTCAATCGAATGCGACGGAACCAATTGTTGGGCTATATTGGCCTTTGACATTACATAAGAAAGTCATGTGGGACATGGGAGCTGGAGGGGGCTAGAGAAGCTGGATGGGCTGCGTGCAAAAACAATCACGAGTGGCCCAAACTGAAGAACCTTAACAGAAAGACGAAATGTTGTGTGACCCAAATTCCAAAATCAAAAGAAAATCAAATTTCGATGTGTGAAAAGCTGGAAAATAAAGAAATAAAAAAAAAACCAATCTGAAATGAACAGAAAATCAAAATACAAATAAAAACGAGAAATAGTCATCTACAAATATTTATGGCTAATTCAATGGCTTGAGGCCCTTTCAGACAAAACCACAACAACAAAAACAAATGTGGGGACCAATAGGCCCCGCCCCCGTGCGGCCGGCATTCATTCAATCATTTTGTCAATGATGTGGCTTTCTATTCTAAACGCACGTTCATTATTATTATTGATTTCCCAACTTATTTTTCGCTCTTACGACTTTTCAACTTTTCCAAGGCTGCAATTAATTTTCTCGCGCTATTCTAAGTCCCCCCCGCCGCCTCAACCCCATCCTACTGGCCACAGCACCAGCGCACCATGAAACAAAAGGAATTGGAAAGAAGACACACGCCGTGCCCGTCTTTCATGTCTAACGCGCATGGCTCTGGGGCAGATGGAAATGGATTCCCAGTCGTAGGCCCAGGCCCAGGCCCAGACCCGAGCCCGAACCTCGGTTGGCGACGCGACGCATACAATTGATCCCCGACCTCTGGGCCCAGCTAGTGGCATCGACGATATAAAAGCTCGGCCTGTAACTGTTTTTGGGTTTAGAACAAATGCAGCTGCGCACGCGTGCGGACCCTCGCGCATAACTTATCTTATTTTTTTATGGTGTTTTGTGTTATCGTAAAGGATTCCAGGATTAACGCCGAGGATACAAATATATATATTCGATACTCAAGTGAACTAAAGTCGTATCGAAAATGTGGCAATACTTAGTGGTATGTGAAATAACAAAAGTTGTCGAAGGATGCCTTTCCATACATACATATATATAAAATATGACTCCAATTCTTCAAAATGAAAACATGAATGCTATATTATTTAGATATACCGAAGTATAAAAAGCAAATAATAATAATATTATTTATTATAATACTAAGCATTAATTTGTTTTATATTTGTATGATCATATTTTTTTAAGTAGAGTCACAAATTGGCTACTAGATATCATGAAGACTCTGGATATTTATTTTTTTAATTTAAAAGCTTTAAATTCTAAACTTGTCTCAATTCAATAGACTTTATTTCTGTAAATTATTGTCTAGTATCCGATATTTGTCTCGTCAACCTATCGCAGCGATATTATTATTTCTTAATATTCAACAAAAACCAGAATAACTCGGTTCTTGGCTCAAGCTATATTTTAACCAAACATTATGGCAAAAGTTGGGTGGATATAAGTAGATATTATTTTTATTATTAATATAAGTATTGAGGGAGTAGGTATCAAGGCTGCTGGACCGCTGAATTATAAAAAAAAAGTTTATCTTCAATACAATAAACTTTCTTGAAGAACTCATTCCCAAACCATAAATAACCTTGGCCTCAAACATTGGTGTTAACCTTATTTGGTAGCTACCAATTATTGAGTAGAAGACAAATTTATATAGGGAAAACGGCTTGCAATATTTTCAGTAGAACGGGTAAATATAAATATAAAATTTGAATTATTTTTGATTTTGTTTTTGAAAATATGTGACGAAGCAAGGTTTGAGCCTGGGCTCAAGAAACCGAACCACAGACAAATGGAACTCTCGTATGTGTATAACTCTAGTTACAAATGACCACGGGCTTCAGCTAGGACAAATCGACATCCTCATACTAGCCTGGAACACGAGCCCGGATCCTCGATTAGCGGGAACTGCATAATTAGTTAATGTAATCAATATAAATACCCTTTGGTTACTTTTAAGAAAGACTCCTACTAGTTGGGACAGCTGCAAATGACCTTTCTCAAACTTAATTTCTCGGCTTGCAGCTTATCGCGGGATTTTCGGCTCTGCCTCTGCCCAGCAGCGGCTTCTGGTGGCCCAAGGCGACAACGTAAGTCAGCCAGAGTGTTGGTAAATGCAGCTTCATTTAATCCTTTCGCCTTCCAACCACAGCGAAACACCGCGCACTCAGGTGCTGCAGCAGATTCCGCTCACCTACTTCCGCACCTACACCTATCAGCCTCTGACGGGCGGCGCCTTTGGAGTGCCGCTCTTCGGCTTTGGTGCGGCACAGACGCCGCTGCTCTCTGGCCGCCACTATGATCCGTACGCGGTGACCAGCTATGCGGCTGCCCGGCGCCACGATGCGGCCGCAGCTGGCTTTAAGCCGGACGTAACGCCACCTGCTCTGGCGAGCAGCAACAGTGCGTCGAGCACAACGCCAGCGCCGACCACAACGACGACAACAACAACGACCCCGGCACCAACAACTACAACCACAACAACAACGACGACCAGCAGTACAACTAGTGCACCACCGACCAGCAGCACCACGGAAACAACATCCCCGCTGCGCTACGCCGCCTACAATGCCGAGTATCCGACCTACAATCGTCGGGTGAACAATTTGTACAATGCGCGGCCGCAATATCCGTATCCGGATTACTTTAACTATCAGCCGCAGAACACGTTGCCGGAGAAGGGCGGCGCGCGCATTCAGTTTGTGCCCTGCATGTGTCCAGTCAGCATGCCCAGCATGTCGGGTATGTCAGGTCTGGGACTAAACGGCGCCACCAGCACTGATCGAGACCGGCCAACAGGCGTGTCCATAAGCAGCACCTCTGGAGATGTTTCGTCCGCGGAGCGCAACATTGTTGCCTTGCAGGCGCGCCACATCGATAGTGGTGAAGCTGACTTCGAGGAGGAGGAAGATGAGCAGGAGCAGGAGGAGGCAGATGCGTCCGCTGAAGCGGATGAGGCTGATGTTGCCGTAGCTGTTCCCACAAAAGTCGCCCTTGAGCCGCAGCATACCACGCCCGCCGTTGAGTCCAACAGTGTGGTCTAGACCCGCCCGCAGCCCCGCCCGTTATAGTATTAACAACGCCTAGACTGATTTGTGCAACTCTTTTGGGAGACCAGTTCCAACGACAGTTTGGCATTTCCTCCCCTAACTTAATGTGCCCTTTTTTTTTTGTCCATAATAAATTACCACGAAATAAATTACAAAGCTCTTAAATGCAAAATTTTTTTTATAATCAATTTAAAAGAATATTGAGAAGTTTAAAAATTCGGCTCGCCCATAAAAATCCCATCAATTATTGAAAATAAATTATTCACCTTGTTGAGCTCTGTATGCAAACCATTATTCACGAGGTTTGGGTCTCTGTTCATAGCTTGACGTCTAGATCAACTTGGTATCTATGTCTGGCAACATTATTCTTGGTCAAAATTCATGTTCATGCCCTGCCTTGCCCGTGGCACATATGTTATAAAATCACTGTTCTCAAAAAGCTTAAGAAAGGATTTTGAAACTAATCGGACGGTAAACAAACAACTTTCATACAAACGTGGATTTAACGGAAAGTGTGAAACGCCCCTAAAATGAATTTGAGCAAAGATCTTTGAAAATGAGTTTGAGGCCAATCGGATGGTTAGCAAAAAACTTTCATACAAACGATTTCCGACAATTTACCACTGTTGCCACAATTTCCCAAATCGCTGAAACATGTATTCATTAAGTTCTTATATAGAGATTGGAAAATAAGTTTAAAGCAAATCAGACACCACTTAAAACTTCGCCCAAATAATCTTTGAATCGCATTCCTACCTAAGGCGTTTAGATTTTGCGAAAAATGTGAAACACCTCTCAAATGATTTTTCAGATAGATCCTTGAAAATGAATTTGAGCGCGAAACGTAATGCACCAAATCTTTGACCCCCATTTCCACCAAGGATGAATACATTTTTGGATAAGTGTGAAACACCCCTCAAATGAATTTGAAAAAAGAACTTTGAAATTGAGTTTAAGGCCGATCGGATGGTAAACAAAAAAGTTTCATTCAAACGTTTTTCGCGATTTTTTCATATTTGCGGGTGGAATTTCCCGAAACCCTGTTTTAACGTGCACCTTCATCACATAAGGTAACTACAGTGAAAATTCCGGCTTCCAGTCAGTCAGGACAGGCAGTTTTATATATATAGATATATATACATACATACAATCGTAGACACCTGTTTGTATGTATATACTACCACACTATTTTCACAAAACATTAACACTTGCACTAAACACTTGTACTGAAGGCATGAAAACCTGCCTGACTTATTTGAATTCTTGAGAATCGAGGAGCAGAGCATTAAATGAAAGAACGGTTTGCTTAAAGTGCAGCACAGGGAAAACTATGTTTGGTCTGCAGTTGGTATAGAAGAATATCTCACATACGTACAAATGTATATATGTATATATATATATATACATGCATACTCACACATACATGCATATTCACATAGATACATGAGCACATGCAGACATTGATACATAAACATACATACATACGTACAAAAAAGTTATGTGAACTTAGCCTGCGTTTAATATAAGAGAACATACAAAGAACTAAGCGTATATTATCTAAGAAACTTAAACCGCATTTTCCATCCGTGGAAAATTTGTTAATTTTCCCTTCTGGCCCGATATATCGCTTCAGTCTCAAACGAATCACGACTATAGATTCGATAGGGTTAGATGTAAAATATGAATTCCCCTTGCGTTTTATACACTTATGTTTTGTTATTTATTGGATCAAATGATTCGTCAATTACATTTACACATAAATATAGGCTAATACTTAGCGCTTTCTGCGCGATTTCAACTAACTTCCTTCCTCAGCTTCTTGCCTCTCGCACTGCACTGACTGCGGTTCCAAATGCGATCTGTTAGAATCGTTCCTATGCCTTAATACATATATAGTACTCGTACTTAAACATTTCATTTCATATTGTTTTTTGTTTTTTTTTTTTTTCAGTTGCTGACCAATTAACAATTAGAATTACATACATATCTAGATGAAATTGTGCTTCGAGTCTTTGAAATGTAAATTTCATTAAAAAAAAAGAGCAGGCGTTTATATTACTTAATAAACATATTTGTAAGCATTAAATCCAATGCGCATTCACAAAGGGATTTACAGATTACATTATATCATAAAATTAAAATAATAATAATGATAAAAACATTGTTTTTACATATTATTTTATAAATATCTATAAAGATATATATGTAAGTAGCAGAATATAATCAAGAGAAAAATATATAATCAGTCATTTAAGTTATAGATATACATACATATACAAATACACAAAGAGTATATATAAATTGTTGCTTAGACATATACAATTTGAATTCTGCTTTCGAGTTAAACAATTAAAAATGTTACATTCTAGATTTTATTAACTATGCTTAGTTTTGCGCGCGCATACATAATGCCTGTTTTCCCCCGATATTCAGAGACGGTTATCCCTGTCAAAACCCCCATCCGTATACAAATGCATACGGTATATATATATATATATATATATATGCTTTAAATATACATAGATACATTTATATAAGCATACATTTATCTGGGGTTATACATATATATATATGAAAATGTGTTTTTCTTCTTGTTTTCGTGTCATGTTTGTCGTCACTTCGTCATTTCGTCAATTGTGTTTTTGCATTTGTCACTTATGTGCTGCAAATTGCATTAATATGGCCTATAAGTATTTGTAGAAGAACCCACATACATATATACTTATTGATATTTCAAATACATGTAAAGCGTCTTCACATTTAAAAAAAAAAAAAAAAATCATCATCGTCATTGTCATCGTCATCGTCATTACATCTTTTCATCATTTCATCATTTCTTGCGCTTATTGGATATGCTATTTGTTTTTCAATTTCTTTCGATTACTCTTCAAGTATATTTTTCTATTCACTTTTGCATTTGTCTAACTGATTGCATCAGTCGCGGTTGCCCCTGCCCAACACCTTGTACTTTTCGATTCAGGCAGAGGCAACAACAAAATGAACAATAATTTAATTATTTTTTGTTTTTCGTCTACGCAGTTTGCGAGTTTTTCGGTTTCTTTTTTTAATTTTTTTGTTTCTTATCATTTTTTGTTTTTTGTTTTCTTCAGTTGTAAAATAGTTTAATATTTAAAAATAATGAGATTGCGCAGGGCTAAAAAGAGTTGATCATTCACAATCACATTCACATCATTCACCCACTGAACACAACGAAAAATTTTCCATACAAGAAAAAAAAAACTACTACCGAAACCTTGCAAAAATTTACGTATCACAAGTTTTTGCTTTCGATAAATGTCAGTTACGAACTAGTTGTGGGCGTGGCAGACAACGGACGCAGCGCAAACAAATAAGTTAATTAACAAATTAAAATACAAAAAAAAAAGGAAAATATGTAAAAATTACAATAAAATAATAATAATCATAGGAATAATTATTGGGGCTGGGTCAGTGGAACATTTTTTTAAAATTAAATGCTTGTAAATCTCAGATCTCTCGTACTAGAAACTATAAATTATACGTATATAGATAACGAAATGTTCATATAGCAGCTCAGCGGCAGCAGCTAAACACATGTCACAGCATCCATACAGACACATACACACGCCCACGCGCACACGCACACATGCACACACACACACACAACAAGGGGGAATGCCACTGGATGAATATTGTTGGTTTGCTTCCTGTTCCTAGCATGAAATTCATTTAGGTGTGCATGTTGCGCCTGTTGCGTCTGCTTAGACGAATGTCTCCCTGATGACGGTGCTGCTGCTACTGTTGCTTAGATCTTAGAATTCGGTTGATTGTCAGACAAATGAGGAGAAGCCGGGCAGTGGCGCCCTCGATCTGGCCATATTATTGACAATAATCTGGCCACCATTGAGGCTCATCACTGCGCTGCCCTCCGGCTCGGAGTCTGTATAGCTAGAATAGTTGCGCACCGGCTTTGTCTTCTTCCACGATTGACGCAATGAATCATTGACATTGGCATAGTGATTTACAAATGAGTGCGGATCACTGCGTACGCTCTCATTTTCGCTCTCCGAGTGCTGCAATGTATATATAATATAATTTGAAGGGCGTTCAATGGATATATTCAAACTCATTTGGACTCACCTGTGAGGCCTCGGAGCTGCTCACCTCTGATGGCTTCTCGGTAACGCTGCTGTCGTCTGGATTCTCATCGTAGCACTTAAGACTCTCCTCATCGCTGTGATAGGCTACCGAAGCGGGCGACGGCCTTGGAGGACTCTTGCCTAGCTGCACATTTGTCGGGGGTCGATTGGTCGACTTGCGGCCCAGGGTTCCAAGCGTGCCGCTGCGCAGTGTGCCCACGCTGTTCAGTGTGCCCGTGCCAACGCCGTGACGCGAACGATACAGCTCCAATGCCAGCTCCTGGCGTTCATCAATCGACATGGCCATGGACTCTTCCAATGTTTTCTGTGCCTCCTCTGCGTGGCATCAAGGAAGGCAAATTGGTTAGGAATTGAAATGAAAAATTTAAAGGCTTCACTCACGTTTATACTTGTAGCTCTTGCTCTTCACACAGAGCACGGCAATGACCATCACAATGATGACTATCGATGTGGCTGCCAGCGAGACCATGAACCATGTCTGCCTGTAGAATGGCTTGTGCTGCAAATATCCGTATTCGAGATGTAGCTTCGATGGGGTCAATATAGAATCCTTGGAGTACACCGGAAACGATATACCATAACGGTTGTAGGCAATCACGCGGAATGTATACGCAGTCGATGGCATCAATATATGGTAGCTAACGGTGAAATCCTGCATGGTGCCCTTCTTCGTCTGCTCAATCTTTGTCCAGCGCGAATCATCTGCGAGTCGAGTCAAATAACAGTTGAGCGAGTGGGTCAAAGTCAAGTGGTGCGAATACGCAGTTAAATATACTTAATAATGAATGAGCTACGAGTTTATCCTGAATTGAGGTTTCGTTATAAACTCCATGAAATACTTTTACCAATTTAGCACTAATCACCTTAAGTAATAATTATTCTATGTTGTGTACCCTTGCAGAGGCTTTTCTTTGAAAAACTTTCTGTTTTCATATAATGAAACTTTTCAAAATTAATTCAATCATTTTCTTCTAGTCACTCTTTTAATTTATAGTAGAATACTTCAAAGATATATTATTTTTTATTATTCTTTTCTAAGTATTTTTTTTTATATTTTAAGTAGCCCAATAGCATTAGAGTCTGATTGCGAATATTGTTAGAATTTGGAATTTATCGACTACAATACTTACATATAAACGAGGGCTCTCCTTTTTCTAGGCAAGCATATTCAAAAATGATGTTAAGTTTTTTTTTTTTGAGTTTTCGAAAAGTTGTAGAAATTTCGAAACAGTTCACCAAAGATTATTGCAAAATAGAAATCAAAAGTTAAAGTAAAGCGAAAGAGAACCAGAACCAATAAATATTAAATATTAGACGGACGGCTTACCGCGCTTCTTGGCCTCGATGAGGTAACCAAGGATGGGTCCACGACCAGATGGTCCATTAATCCAGTGCATCTCGACGCTGGAGAGCGTCTTGCTGAGTATCAAATCGCGCGGTGCAACGGGAGAGCCGTCCTGTGGACCTGTGGTCACATTCTCGCTAACCGCGGGTCCATAGTCAATGGTCTGGGCGCGCACGGTGAATGTATAGGTGACCTCCTCCTCCAGGTTCTGGACGCGCAGCGTAGTATTCGATACCTTCTGCTTCACCTGCTTGCTAAACTCTGCGCAACGAATGGAAGAGGATTTATTAGAGGGATTTCTTCTCGAGCGTTTTTGTGGCTTACTCTCATTCTCCTCGGTGGTCTCGTAGGTCACCAGATAGCCCAGAATTTCGCCATTGAGAAACTTGGGCGGATCCCAAGTCACCTCCAGACTCTGCATTGTGATGTCCGAAAAGCGCAAGTTAAGCGGAGCGCTTGGCACACCTTGAAGCGTCTTGACCGTAACGGGTGCAGAACGTGGTCCATCGCCGGCAGGATTAAAGGCTAACAGTTGGATGCGGTATTCGGTGTACTTATCGAGAAAGACGAGACTGTGCGACGTGGCCGTGGCGGAGACGACCTCGATTTCCTCCTCCCACTTGCGGCCTGGCTCGAGCGCTTGTGGTGAAGACGTGACCAGGTAGAAGATCTTGTAGCCCAAAATGTCGCCATTCTGCATACTCTGCTTGGGTGGCTTCCAGCGTAGGCGCACCTCGGTGCTGGATATGGACGCAGCATCCACAGCGCGTGGTTCTCCAGTGGGCACCGCCTCGCCAACATAAACTGCCGCTGGCGGCGTTGCCGGACCCGGTCCCTGGGAATTAAATGGCAGCACGACAATTTCATAGTTACGATCCTGCGTCAGATCGGAGAGCACCACACTGTTTACATTGATGCCCATGACATCCGTTTTGGGCGTCGACTGCAGGGCCGTGGGAAAGTCCGAGAGCTGCTGATACAAGATGCGATAGCCACCGGTTGCTGCATCCCCATTCCACATGCCTGTCTCCAGTGCGTTCCAGTGCACGCGCACCGATGTCGTCGTAATGGGCACCACCTTCAATCCACCCACCCCAATGGCTGGGGCGGCAGGCAGGGTGCGCACCACAATACTCTCGCGACTGAAGGCCGAGGGGCCCAGATCGTTGGTGGCCTGTATGCGAAACTGGTAGGTTGTATGCGGTCTCAATCCCAGGGCTGTATACGAGCTCAACAAAGGATCTACGCGCTCCGGAAGCGGCTGCCATGGACCCTCGTTCTCGCGCATTTGGACCGTGTAGTAGCGGAGCGGTGCAAAGCCATCCCGACCCGGTGTCCAGCTGAATGTGATCTGACTAGACTGGATCTGGCTGCGCGAGATCTGCGGCACTGATGGCGCCTGCGGACGATCCCGGTTGTTGGTGGTGTATACGAGCACGCTGGCCGTCTTGCCCCAGCCCAGTCGTGTTTGGGCGGTCACACTAAAGCTGTAATAGCGTTCGGATAGCAGCTGGGTGGCACGGAAAGTGCGGTCCGAGGGTGGGAACTCGCGACTATAATTGAGATTGGCGCTGCCATTGAGCGTGTAGGTGACTTGATAGGCGAGTATCTCGCCATTCGGATCATCGGGAACATCCCAAATGATGCGGGCCATCGAGAAGGTCACATCCGGGAAACTGACATTCGACGGTGCACCGGGTGTATCCTCAAAGGTCTGGACACGTATTGGTGGCGTGCTTAGCGCACCATCTCCCAATCTTGTGTAGGCCAGCACCTGGACATGGTAGACGACATATTTCTTAAGCTCGGTCAGGGTTGTGGTAAAGGAACTGTTGGTCGTGATGGTTTTATGCAGCACTGGCACCATGTTGACGCGATCTGGGGCCGCATAGAAGACCTTGTAGCCTTCGATTTGACCATTCCGATGCTGGCGCGGCACCTCACCCCAGCGCACCACCACAGTTGTCGAGGATGTGGCATTCGCTTGGACATCCAATGGTCCATACGTTGGCGTCGCCTCCCGTGTGCGTTCTTCAGCCGAATTACTGGCGCGGGAGCAGCCCACATCGTTGCAAGCATTTATTAGCACCTCGTAGACGGTCCACTCCTCCAGAGAATCCAGCACATGCGAATTGGCCGTGTGATCCTCGATAAGTACGCTGCGCGGCGTTCTCTTAATGGCGCCAGCAACACGCTCCATTTGACGGTAGGTGATGTTGTAGCCACGGGGATTGCCAAACCATTCTGTCTGCTGCAGCGGTATCCAGCGGACGCGTAGCTGCTGTGCGCTCATTGCCCGTACGGTGACATTGAAGGGTGCGTGCATGGGACGGGCCTGTATGGTCTGGAAATCCTTGGTGGGCTCCGAGGGGCGCGAGCTACCCACCACATTGGTGGCACTCAAGCGCAGACGGTACTGGGTGAAGGGCATTAGACCGGTCACAGTAAGTGTCTCCGCATCGGGATCGCTGATCTCACAGATGGTGAACCAGGTCATGTTGCGTGCCGTTTGCGCTTCCACCTTCCATTTGGTGATGCTCGAGTTGCCATCGAAGCCGGGCGTAAACTGCAGCACCACGGAGAATGCCTCGATGTTGGACAGCGCCAGATTGGTCGGTGCATGAGGGAGCACTGGCTCCACGCCCGACTGTATGGTTGCCGTCTTGGGTGCACCGCTGCCAATTCTTGTCCAGGCGCAGATCTCGAACCAGTAGTGAGTGGTTGCCTGCAGCTGATTAACCGTCAGCTGTGTGTCCTCGGCGGTTAGATTAATGGACTTCATGGTCTCGGAACGATCGCGCACCTGGTAGCGCACCGTATAGCCGGTGAGCAGGCCATTGGCGTGGCGCGGTGGGGCCCACAGGACGGTAACAGCACGATCGGAGACATCATCAAAGTGCAGGGCAGTTATCTCATCGGGCACATCCTCTTTGGTCATGACGGGCACCTTTTGGCTGATGATGCCATCGCCGGGATCGGTGAAGCACAACACACTGATATTGTACTTGGCGTACTTGTCCAGCCCATTGAGTATGGCCGTCTGCTCGGCCAGCGGATCGATAAGACTAGGCGGCACCGTCATCATGCGCTTCTCCACGTCACGTGGCTCGCCGTCGATGTGATGCTGCTGCCACGCCTGGATCTTATAGCCCTGATTGATGCCGTTAATCTGTTGCGGATTCGGTGGCTTCCAGCTGATCTTGGCGGCCGTCGAGTTCAGGGCCACTACACGCAAATTTGTGGGCGGCGCCTCTGGCACGCCCTCTTTGGTCTTGATCTTGGCGCCCTCAGTGTAAATGCCAACACCCATTTCGTTGTAGGCGGCGATCTGTACTACATAATCCTTCCAGGTAATCAGCTCCTTGATAAGAAAACTGCGCTGCACTTCGTTCGTGATGTTCTGATAGGTCCAGGGCACATTGTTATAGCCGTAGAGTCGATAGCGCAGTATATAGCCCAGTATATGGCCATTGCGATGCTCCTCCAGCGGCGGCTGCCATTGCGTCATGATTTCCGACATAGATCTGGCGGAGCCGACAAAACCAACTGGCGGGCCCGATGGTGCTGAGAACGTATTTGAAAGTAAACAATATTATTAGAAGTTCCTTGTAAATTTATCAGGTGGTGAGTGCAATTTGTATACGGGTTTACTCATTGAAGTGTATGAGATGCAGGGATCAATTCTCTGGGTTATATACCTCGGTAATATGGAAACGCTACGCGCATTTGTTCATCAAAAGCGGGCGATCACGACGTTGCAGTTTGACGACAACGATAGCAGTTAAAAGTACAATACATACATATGGTTATACAGCATTAGTTCTATGCACTAAATAATTGTAAAATATTCAAAGCAAGAGCTACACCATTTACGTAGCATTAACGAGTGCAGTTGGCAACCCTAGAAATGGGTGCTCAAGATGCACTCTCAAAAAACTAAACAAAATTAAACGATAATACTTTATACTTTTCAAATCAAATCACAACTTAAGGCTTACTGAATAATAATGAGGTTGGGTTTAGATATATTCCTCTGTCTCTAATCACGATTTCAATTTGGCATATTGTCAACCCAAAACTATTACATCTAATTGATTTTTTGAGAACGACTTTGCTTCTAATGTAAAGTGCATTTCAAGCTGCCGATTTTAGTTGCTTGTCAAATGTTTACAATGCAGATAGAGTGCCTGGCAACGTTTACCAATCAGGATTCGGTACAAATGAATGACTTTACTTGACATTATTTTTAAATACTACTACTATTTGAAGCCAATGGAAGTTACTTGAAGTTCTTTGCAATTCCGAATGTAATTAAACTATTTTGCAGTTTACGACATTTTACAACATAAAACGTTTCTTGTAAACCAAAAGCAGAAATCAAGAACACAAAAGCTATTACTTAATACTTGGATGTAGATAGTGGAAAGTGCACTCACCTTCTTGGGGCAGCTCGACGACGTTACTTGGCTCGGATGGTGAGCCCTCGCCGACGCGATTAACGGCACTCACGCGAAACTGATAGACGGTGGCTGCCTTCAGGTGCTCGAGCAGAATCCAACGCTGATCGGCAGAAACGTTGCTCAACTCTGTGATCCAATTGCGCAGCAATTCTGGTACTGGATCATCGGATTTTTCTGTGATGTTAATGTGTTTAAAAACGTAGTTGCGAGAGGATAGCGAGTGTGTGTGTATGTGTGAATGTGTTGTTAGATACGAAAGAGAGCGAGAGCGGATTGCAAAAGAGAGCGAGCGAGTCGTGAGTGATGAGCAAGGTAAATGATGCGTGCGGTGGGTGTTGAGTGTGGTGTGTGTTGAGTATGGTAAGTGATGCATATGGTGAAACACGAAAATGGTTAGTTATGTTGGGTATGGTGAGTTTTGCGCATGGTGTTAAGTTTGAGGTGCAATTTACAGTGTGTATTTGTGTTCGTATGTTGAAAAATTAATGTGCGAAACAAGTAAATAAAAACAAAAGTAAATTAACAAAATGTACTCAACAAGAAAATACAATTTAATATACATATTTGTATATATATTATATATAAATTGTATATATTTATATATAGGTTTAAGATTAATATCAAAGGTTCGTTACGGTACACGGATTGGAAGAAAAAAGAGAGAACGTTGGGAAATCCATCAATTTAAAATTGAACTTTTCTGTTTAAAATGGTTTCTTCTACTCTATATTAATTTGAAATCTTTAAAACAAATAAAGTCGTTTCCAGTTGGGACTCGCATTATTGATACCCAATGCAAACAGAATCACAAATGGTTAATTGCATTTTTGTTGCTGTTTTGTGGCTTATTTTTGTTGTTGTTGTTGATGTTGTTGCTGGACTTGTTGTTTAACTGATGTGATTTACATGTTTTCTAATTACACGCAAGACCCCAGGGCCCAACATCAGAGCCCAACATGAAGCTGCGAGGTGTGTGGGTGTGTGTGTGATAAATCAAATTCCAATACCGCAAAACCGTAACCGTAACCATAACCACATAAGCTAACCCGGACAAAAATTGTGTGACGGAATAGTAGGGGGCGGTCTGTGGGGTGGATTGATGTTGATGCTGGCATATGGCATACACTTACCCAATTTGGAGACCTCTCGACGCTGTATAATAAATTTGGATATTGGACTGTTGCCATCGAAGCCCGGCGTCCACGATACATTGATGCTGCGCTGCCGCGACTCGGCCAGGCGCTCCACCTTCACATTGCTGGGCGGGAATGGCAGCTCAATAACGCTGAGACGTGCCGCGCGCGTCTCATTGCCACCGGGCGAGGTAACCACACACGCATAGCTGCCCACATCGCTGGCCCGCACCGCCTGTATCTCCAGCTGGCCATCTCCTTGAACGCCAATGCGCTGCGAATTGCTTATGGGTGCCGGATGTCCCTCCCGGTACCAGTCGATATTGAACGGGACACTGGGGTCACTCGACACCTTGCATTGGAGCGTTGCGGTCAGGCCAAGCAGCACGGTTGTGTCCACCGGCGGTTGTATGATTTGTGTTCGCACTAAAGTGAGAGACAGAGACAGAAAAAGAGAGAGAGAGAGAATGGGGGAGTGTGAATATGTGGGCGTGGCAAGAGTTTGACATTAAACAGTAAAAGAGATTAACTGCAACACATTTGCAGCCAGACAACGTCGGGACAGCTCTCAGCGCCCCCTTCCCAATTGGCTGGCATGTAGGAAATTAAGTTTTAAAGCCTCTCAGATGTACAGATGCACACACACACACACACACACATATTATATAAATATAAATATATATATATATATATATATATATATATATATATATATATATATATATATATATATATATATATATATATATATGTATATTCTTTCTATATGCACATTTTCGCTGCCTTTTCAGTCACTTGGCCGCATCATGCATCAAAAGTTCAACGCGCTCGACCAGACTTTAGCCTGGTCCGGCTCTGGTTTTGGCCCTGTTTCTGCCTGGCATTTCTTTTGGCTGTGACGACCTTTTATTGTTGTTGTTGTTTTTGTTGATGTTGAATGCCGCTGCCTCGTTTGCATATGGTGCACACACATACAATATTTTTCCCTTTTTTTTTTTGATTACCGTCCCCATGCGCCACGTTTTATGCAAAACAAAATTTCAAAAACAAGTCCGAATATTGCGGTGCAATGCAACCGACTGCGTAATACTCGTTAACAGTCCAATATCGGTTACATATCTTGCCCATTTTTTTGGGGTAAGTTTGCAAGCCTACATATTTGGTGAATTGTGCTCGATAAATGATGAAAATGATGCGTTTTTCATCATGGTAAAGGTTGTTTCACTTTGTTTTTTCTTAGTCTTTCATTTCTATTTAGTCCCATTTTGGGGCGTCTTCATGTATGCGTGTTCATCATGTACACGGACTACATTTTGTGATTCTCAACTATGGTTGAAGAATTTGTTGCTGACTTTAAAATTGAGAAAGCAGCTCATTCAAAGAGTTGCCTATTTTTATAAAATCTTTGAATAACTGACTTTGTTTTGGCTAACATTTTTGCAATTGTCTTTGGAGCAGCTCATATATCCGGCTAGCTGACTCTAGCTATACGAATATTTATATGCCAAGTTCCAAGCAGGGCTGACATGGCACCAAACCAATATACTCGTTTCACTTTGTGTTCAGTTAAACACACACACACACATACAGGCTAGCTGCAGCGCTTTGCCAATTAGCAGACATTGATGTGGCCTTTAAGAGAGCCTCCCAAGCTACAGCTGGAAGCCAGGCCTGTGGCCAGCTTTAATGCATTAAAAATAAAACAAAGCGTAAAAAGCTCAATTTAAATTATTATTATTGTTGTTATTGCTTTCCTGCCTGCGGCTTTGATGACAATATAATGTGTTATTATGGGACCAATACGTTTTAGCTGATTTGATGTGGCACTCGCCGGTCGTTGCACATTGCTGCTGCTGCTGCCGCTGCTGCTGCTCGTTGCCACGCTGTGGCATGTTTCAACGGTGACAACTCGGCAGTTGTGGCAGCTCCTGGCTATTAACATTATTAAGGCTCTCATTGTTGTTGTCACTGTCACAAACCATGTGTGTGTGTGTGTGTGTGGGTGTGTGTTTGAGGCATAGCAAAACTTAAATAGGTTGGCACATGTATTTAACAAAACTAATCTGCATTGATCAAAATTGATAAAAGTCGATACTAAACTTAGATAAATTCAATTTTAGCGACTTCATTAAAATTATATTCATTTATTATTATATCAACAATAAAAAATAAACAAGAATAATAACAGAAAATATGCATATAAACAAATTAAAATTTAATATCTTCTTTTGTGTGCTTTTCATTTAAATAAAAACCCCTAGCAATTCTATTTGTATTACAATTTCTTGAGTGTGCGGCAAATCCGGCTGATTCCGACATATATACCGCCTGCCACAGACGGACATCACTATATAGACTCTGCAGTTGATACTTATCAAGAATATATGTATGTGTATATAGCACATGGAGAGACATCTCCCATGTGTTGGACAATCCCTGACAAATTTCTAGTAGAATACAGAAATTAGATTCCATGCCCACACTTATTGTTTGTAATATAAAACAATGCTGAACAATTAGAATTGTTAATTTCTATATTAAAATATATATTTCTTTTTTATGCTCTTAGTAGATTAATATTGCATTGATTGTATATGTGTGTGTGTGTGTTTATATGTTTGCTTGTTTATTATTGTTTATCATTTGTATTTTTGCATCTAATTTCTATAGCGATTTCTTAGCATAGCATTATTAAATGAATTCAGTTGAATTACGACACGCATTTCACGATTTCATTCTCTAATCAGGCAGACAGTAATGAAGTTAGCATAATTTATAGCTAATACGTATTGGTTATATAAATCATAAATTGTTCTATTCCAAAATATGTTTGAGCAAACAAATGCGCCCAATTAGCGCAACCGAATCGAGCATAGAATCTGTTATTAATTTTGTTAGCTGTATTTTCACAGATTTTTACTATCGTGCGACTGGGGGAAAGAGAGAAGCGTTAAGCATTAAACAGATAAGCAACACATAGCAATATATTAGCGTGGTCTAGCAACCGAAAGGCTTTCGCAAAATCGCAAAATGCCACAAATCTTGTCGTTCCGTTGACATGCGCCTTGATCGATTTCCGCATTGCTTCTCACTTCGCTTCTCGCTGCTATTAAATTGTTAGATTCAATGCGTTTGTCGGTGAGTGCAATTGAACATCGAAAAGAGTTGTATAGATTTAGGCATGCCGAAATGCATGAATTGTACTGTGTTAATCATTAGTTCAAAATTGAATTTTGTTCACTCCGGAACCAGCAGCAACTCGCTGAGCTAACACAAAACTATGTTTGTACGATATATAGACAAGCAATTAAATTGGCTGCTGGCTTTGCGTTGCCAATTAACGTGAAGTGTGGGAATGGGGCTGTGGACGGTTTGGGGTCTGTCGTATAACTTACCTAGTACACCCAGATAAGCCTCGCCCTTCACGGTGCCCGCCTCGTTGGCGCGCACACATATGTAGAGGCCCGCATCGGAAGCGCGTATATTTGAGATGAGTAAATCGCCAGATTCGAGTATCTGAACGCGGCTCGACAGCTCGACCAGTTGAGTTTCTATTATTGTTGATTTGTTAAATTTGTTGTTTTTGTTATATTTTTGGGCAGTCGGGATTTGTTTGGTCGTCCAGCAAGCAGTTTAAGCGGGGAGAGTTGCAGTTGCAGAGTTGCATTTACGGTTAGCAATTTAATTGGTTGGTTAGCATACGAAAAGAACAAAAAGACATCGATATTAGCATTAACTACATCTAAAGCGTGCAGTAGGAGAATTCGTGGCACTCACCATTATAAATCCAGGTTATGTTAGGATTCGGTGCGCCGACGGCCCGACATGAAATGGTCGCATCTTTGCCATCCAGTGCGGTCACATTCTGTGGCGGCTGCTCCATCACTGGGGCTGTGGCTGTGGATGGATGATCGAATGTTGAGTATTTAGCAAACTGAGCCGCAATCGATGCGTAAAGGTGTGGGTAATTTTGTGATGCCGCATATGTATGTGTGTTCAAGTCAAAGGTAAATACGTGGCAGTCATGCAAACATGCTTATGTGTGTGCTACTGTGTTTGAGTGTGTGTTGGGTGTGTGTTTGGGGGGTGTAAATGTGTTACTTAGCGGCTATGAGTGTTTCAATATTTGATTCTATGCCCACAAACTGCAAATTATTAAGTGTTGGTATACTTAGAGCCGCCCAAGAAAATAATATTAGCAATGCAACCATCTGGCAACGCCTAAGGCTGGTTTGCTCTTTAGCTAGATAACATACTGTTAATTTACATAAGACCATAATTAACGTTTGCTGCTATTCTATAGGCTATCTGGCAACGACTTAATCGCATTGGCTCCTTAGTTAGTTGACATTGTGTTCATATGAGTCACTTATTAACTTATCTGTTCTGTTCCTTTTCCACACGTTTCAATTTGTGGATTCGATTGATTTATGATTGGAGTTTGTCAATGAGAAACATTTAATTTCAACTTAAGCATTGAGTACTATTTTAAATATTTAAAATACGACTTTTAGACCATTTACGAGCTTTGATAAGCTAGCCTTAACTTATCAACTCAGTAGCTCAAGGAATGTGTGAATATTGCAACTTATTGTTAAATTTAGATGAGAGGAGTATAACGTTTAAATTTCGAAAGGTTCCCATTCACTTCAATCCCAAAATAATTCAACTAAGGCTGCCTTCAAGTTCGCCAAGTGCGAGATTTTTGTGGCTGCTGCCAGGCAGACAATTAAACTTAAACTCTGGCAATGTCAAAAGTTAATACCAATTATTTATTGAGTCGCACATTTGGCAATGTTTTTTTGTTTTCTTTCCTTTTTTATAGTCGTTGCCACTTACGCGGCTCGAATCGCAGCAAAAGTAATAATGTAATTATTTCATATGATGCATTCATTTTAACTCCGCTTATGTAAATAAGTGCATAAAATTACAATAAAAATTTCTGTGTGTTTTTTACATTAAGATATTAAGTGCTCTGTGTGTACGTATATGCAAGTGTGTTTGGTTGTGTGTGTGTACATGAAATTTAATGGCTTGCGGCGAAAAGTAGAGGACCGTCATGCGATTCACTGGGAAAATTGTTAAATTATAAGGACACGAACCTACAGCAAGATAATATTTGAAAAGAGTTGTATTCAAAAATGTCAAATAAACAGATATTTAAACAAATGTTTACATATAGAAGTATATAGTTCTGTGCTCGTAGAATATCAGTTATCTCGTTAACCGGTTATCTAAGTTTATATATAGACGATTATACAGATATGGCTATATGTATATAGACAGAGCTGTGCTGCTGATTAAAAATATAAATATATCATTTACAAATATTAGTTTATAGCTCAGCGCTTAACTAGAACGTAAATCTTTCCAAAGACTTTGATATAATTCCACAAAACTTACAAAAATTCGTGCAACAGAACAAATGAAACAAAAAGATCAGAGCGGGAGGAAGAGTGTGGAAGGGCGTGGAGAAGGGGGAGGGGGGGGGGGGGCGCAAAGCTTTAAGTGGAATTAACGTGCAGCATTGAATATCCGACAGCTTAATTAACCTTAAGTGCTCTTTAAGGCAAACCCTGTCCAAAAATAAAAGGCCAATCAAATAATTAAGGAAACAACAGAGAAGCCAACAAAATTTTGAGAAGGGTCAGTGCTGAGAAGGAGGGCGAGGTCAGTGTGTGGGCACATTAGTTGATTTTTATAGAGTAATTATTATAATTATACTATAGTATACGATTTTTATATAATTATTTTTACTTTGTCCCAAACACACTAAGGCTGAGAAAATCTATAGCTAGGACATGTCAAAATCCGATAACCAGCTATTTACGAACTACTTAGCTGCTTTTTAATAGCTCAATTTCGGTTGCTTTTACGGCATAGTCGTTGATAGATTCAGATTACGGCTTTAAATAAGCTGCAAATCGAGCTTGAACTATTAATAAAAAGTTAATGATTTGTACAAGATATATACGAGGTTAATAAGATGCGACCTCACTGTGATTAAAATCACACAGATTCACGCTTTAGTTGAGCAAGCGGAAAAAGCGTGATTTGGAATCACTAATCAAAATGAGCTGCAGCAGCTATTCACGCTGAACTGTAGGGCTAACAGTAAATACGTGTGACTGATAACAGCCGGTCACACTGGGCATTTGAGCTAACTGAGCCGGTCACACTGAACACACAGTTTTCGTTTACATACTTTTATCCCAATCTATAAAATATGAGTGTGTACATAAAGTGCCCAAGTGCTTTATTTGCGTAGAGCTTGGGCAAAGAAATGGAAAAGAAAATGACTTTAAAGAGCTCAAGGGCTAATGTCAGTGTTGTGCGAAAGACTCGTTAGCCAGAATGTTAAGCAATTTCTGGCCAGAAATGTTGATGTATAGCGAAGGGGCATGATAATGATGCCGTGGCATGAAAATATTTGCGGCAGGCAGCCAACTGAATAGTTGCACAACTTGGCTAATCGCGAAACGTCGAGCTATTTTCGAGACCAAATTAATTGATTGACAAAAACTACTGAGTTATTGGCTTAAAGCAGCGACTGTGGCTTATACGGTTATGCATTTGGTCAGTTTAAGAGGCGAATAGAGGTCACGTTAACGTGTTAAAAGTGCTTAAGCAGGCCTGCATGTAGTAAAGGGCATTGCCCCACACCCCTACAACCCCCCCACACGCTCTCTGAGCGGCTGTGCACGCAAAGGGCATATTAAAGAAACGTGTGCAATAAAAGGAAAGAAAAAGTAGAAAAGAAAAACCATATTTGTAGCATACTTTTTTGAGGAGCCACCGACTGCTGAAAGCCGGAAATAATGAAGAGTTTGAGAGTTTGAGTCGGCTTTAAGGCGAGCGTGGGCTAACGTGGTTTTGGCTGGTGAGACAGAGAGAGAGAGAGAGGGGGAGGGGGGGGGGGGGGTGAGAAGAGAGGCGACCTGGATGAGTGCGCACTTAAATTATATCTGCTGTGGCATATGGCAACATAATTGCATGCAGGACTAATTGCGAATCGCGACTAATATGGAAGCGCCACAAAACTTGACAATGCTTCAGCGCGATTCATGCCACGTGCAAGGCGCAACACGATTTGTTGTTGTTTGATATTATTATTATTGTTGTTGTTTTTGTTGTTGCTGTTATTGCTGTTGTTGTTGCTGCTGCTGCTGCTGGTGCATGGCATTCGTAATTAATTTCAAGTTGACCCACTAAAGCGGTCGCCTCAAGTTAAGGCCGTAATAATAAAGCGCTCGCCGGGAATGACGTGCACCGGCGATAATTGCCATTACTTGCCTGTAAAGTGCCTTCCTGCCTGCCTGGCTGGCCCAAGGATGGGCGGGAGGAGGGAGGATTTGGTTAGGTGAAGAGCAGCTGGCTCTTGGCAGTTGGTTATGCATAACATTTGCATAGGAATTGCGGCTTGCTTTATATTACGCTCTTTTGTATAAACTGTGGCAAATCTTTTGGTTGCAAGGAATAGAAACTCCAACCAGGTTGCAAATGCCCCGTAAGTGGCATTTAAAATTGTTGTATGGCAACTAAGTCTAGCTGCGGCTTTAAATGTCTTAGCATATCGCTTATATTAAAGACCATTTAGCCAATTTTAATGAATTCCAAAAATAAGAAAATTCTGCAGCTGATTCTGACGCGTGAGCTGGGCATTACAATAGCAGCAATTACTGCCACAAATGTTATTCGACCAGCAGCTGATCCTGCCTGACCCTGAAAGTGACCCTGCCCACGATACGATCACCACCTCCGCAATATCGGATTCTGCCAGCAAACCGGTTGACGAACTTGCCATCAGCCCCAACAGCGACATTGCCAACGTAAATGAAAGTTCTGAAAAGGACATCAGCCGATTGAGGATTCCTTTTCAGAATATTCTTATTAATTTGCGGATAGCGGCGCTAAAAAAAAACTGAAAAGCATCGAATGACCTTGCGAGAATTTTCTGATAAGCGCAGTATGGCGCATGGAGATTAGATTGAGGTACCGTCAGAGGGCGGCTGCAGCAGTAGAAGGAAATAACGACAGACGGGAAAAGGGAGGAACAGAGGGAGGAGGAGGAGGAGGTGGATGAGGAATTCCATGAGCCATCTACAAGCACCGACCGTGGCCTAAAAATAATACGGACAAGATTCCAACAAAAAGTTCCTTTGGACCTGCCATTACACAACCCACGGATGACACTGCTCAACCTAAGCCTCGGTATTCCGCTGCCAACAGCCCTTCCAACTGAGAGTCCAAGTGCTGCACTAAATGCTCCTCCAGCGTCGCCAGGGAAAACGCACATTCTACGCTTTCGCCTACATCGTATCGTGCTCAAGGACACAGAATGGGTAAAAAGGGTATAATGTATTTGTGCAAATGTATGTAACATACAGAAGGAAGTATCTCCTACCCCTTTAAGTATATGTATTCTTGATCAGCATCAATAGCCGACTCGATCTAGCCATGCCCGTCTGTCTGTCCGCCAGTCTGTCTGTATGTATAAACGCAAGGATATCAGAGCCTATAAGAGCTAGAGACTTGATATTTTAGCTGTATGTCCTCCTAGTCCATGCGCAGATCGAGATTGTTTCCGATAACTGATAGCTTACTCCGTTTCCAAGCGATCGATAAAAACCGATATCGACATCCTGTTTTTTAAGCAAATTATGTAAATATTAAGAGCTAGAGTTACCAAATTTGATATGTTGGTTCTAGAATATTATATATATATATCAAGTATCTTTCATTTTATACCTATTGCCACTTCCCGCTACCACCGCAGAGCTATAAATCAAGTTAATAACCCAACTTGTATTGCCCACCATTTTAAGCCACAATTTGAATGCAATTGACTTTTTGAGAATACATAAATATTCTATGGTACAATAAGATATACTGTAGAA